TTTCCAGGCAATTTCTACACACTGGTTATGAGCCCATTGAGTTTCAGACCGTTCATTCACTTGGGACCCAATACTTATAAACTCATCAGTGATAAATTCTATGAACAGGAATCCCTGGAACAATAGTGCCTTAACTTTTTTATTCCCTGTGACTTAGAATGCTAATTTAATGCAATCAGGCTTATAACAGTTTTCTGTGAGTTAAAGATTCATCTGGAGGGACTTGAAATTGAAAATGACCTCATTGAAATTAGGTGATATGGTAACTTAAAATAACTACTGTTAGGAATTTGTTCTCAATTCTTGGTTAGATTAATAACGATAATATATCTCATTCTTTAAGATGAATACATCTGTTCATCTCAAAAGCCAGGGTGAAGTATGTAAGGGCAGGCGCTATCACCATTTGATAGAAAACAAAAAAGAAATGCAGAGAGGAAAACATTTGATTGTGGGATGGAATCATACGCAAAGTTAACAGCAAGCCATACGTCTCTCGACTAGAAGCCAGCGCAGTGGTCTTTAACAACACTGCTCCATTTCAGGAACCACCACAGTACACTGTGTGGCCTTTACACCGAGAGTCCTTTGTGACCCTTCCCCTTGGGATTTGGCTGGCCTATGTAATGTATATTAAGTTCTTGAGCAAAGTTTTGTGCTCGTGGTACCTGGAAATGCTCTTAAAAATGAGAAAACTCCTGAAAATAAGCATGGTAGGTTATATAAAAAGCTCAGGAGTGGGGTTTGGTACTTCTGTATCCCAAAGATCAATTGTATGACCACAGAAAATTATCCTTAAAGCTCCTCCTGAAGCCACATGATTTAAATTTGCTAATTTCCCCACAAATGTATTTGTCTGAAAATGACAATCTTAGCATATGAGAGCATTTATTTTTTTAATATGCAAAAAGTAATTGTGTGTTTCAATAATAAAGTATGAAATATCTTTATCATTTCTTTAATATGTAAAAAGTAATTAGAGACAGCTTTGTAGTTGATTTAGAAAACTATATGTTCAATACTATTGAAAATCTAATTTTTTTAAATTTACTTATTTATTTTTAGTGTGTATACTGTTACAAATCGTACTTATTCTTCATGCCCCTTGTCCAATCTCTCCTCACCCCTCCCCCTCTCACCATTGATAACCCTAGATTTCTTCTCTTCCTCTGAAAGAGTAAAGGTTACTCTGCTGATTTGTTGCCTAGATGATCTGTCCAATGCTGAGAGGTGTGTTCATGTCCCCCAATATAATCACAGAACAGATGCTTCTTCTGTCACTCTGGAATGGGCTTTGTGGAGAGAGACATCCTCTTCTTTTCTTTGATCTCTACTGGTGACTCTCCTTGTATCATTGCACTCCCATGGCTGGCGGACCATTTGCGTGGTGGTTGTGACATCTAGGCACTTTCGTGGCAGCCGTGGTTACTGTGGTGGCTGTGGTAGGCCTCCCACATGGAGGTGATGTTTTTGGCATGCTCCTTGGCACTGGCAGTGTACCTGGTTGTGGTGGGGGGGTCCAGTCCCAGCTCCAAGCCCCAGCCCCCAGGCAGATCCCCAAGGCACTGGAGGTGTGCCTGGGTGCCGGTGGGATGTCTGGTGCCCAACTGGGATCCCAGGCAGATGTGTGCCTGGATGTGGAAATGGGGCCTGATCCTTGGATCCATGCCTCAGGTCCCCTGGTGCCCTGAGGCGCTGGTGTTATGCTTGTACTGGAACTAATTTTTTTGTCCTTTGCTTACTTCTAAAACGGGTGAACTTCCTGTGGGGACCAGTACTTGAGCTGTGTGGTTGAGCTAAATTGCTGCTTTGCTGCTGTTTCCCTAGGGAAGGCTTTTTGTGCGGCTCAGGGTTTAATGGCTGACCTTATGGGTACTTCTGGCTCCTGGGTTGTGTAGAAACTCTGATCTGGGCCTGAATCTTTTCGTCAGACTGCACCCCATGCAATTCTGCATTCCTGACCAGTCTCCTTTGAGTGGTCCTGCACTGATTGGGGGGCAGATCAGCTGTCCTTGTCCTTGCTGTGTCGTCCCATTGTTCTCCCAATGGGCCCATCTCCCCCACCACCTGTCCTTCAAACACTTCCCATGAGATGGGCCCTGTACCAGTCCCTTGCGATGACTCACCAGCCTCTGAATGGCTCCCCTTTTTTAGCTGTTCTGGCTCCTCGCTCCTGTGTGGGTCCATGGGAACCCTATTAGTGGTCTTGCTGTCCTGGGGGCCACCAAGGCCCTCTTCTTCCCTGTCGCCTCCAACCAACTCCATCGGAAGGGCACAGCTGCGGCTTCCGCCAGTTCCTGCTCCGTGTGCTCTGCAGTTACAGCATTAAAGCTGCTGCGGCCCAAAACGCTCTGAGCAGTTTTTTCTTTCTCTCATTGAAGCTTCTCCTCCTTCATGAACTCTGTAGGTCTCTCCTCCTCTTCCCCTGAGTTCCAGCAGCCCTAGCTTGGCTGTTGTTACATTTTTATAGTTGTAAATGGGTTGATTTGTGGGAGAGAGTGACGCTGGGGACTTCCGCCATCTTGACCAGGACTCTGAAAATCTAAAGTACTTTCTATCTTGTTACCTGAGTCTATCAAATAATTATATTGTTAATACCTTTATAGCAAAATGCACTCATTTCTGAATCGCTCCTTACTAACTTACGTCAGTGATTTGGTATTTGAAGCTTTCAAGTCCTATTCATTGTTTTAACTAGTGTTTACATTTTGGAATGTTTTATGATTTCATGTGAGATGTGATATATATAGAAGAATGCTCAGTAATGGCTATTGTTTATAAAGACAGGCTTTGGAAAAATAATTTAATAATTGTATATATTTGTTCTTTTGATGTTTTATGCTTATAGTACTTGGTGCCTTTTTTGTGCAGCGAGTATTTTCTCTTTACTAAACTAAATGGTGTTTAGTCAACATATATGCAGGTACTTTTAAAAGTTCTTGGAAAAATAGTTAAAAGGTAATATGAATCTTTCCATGAACTTTTTGAAGACCTCTCATAATATAAAAACTGACTTATTCGCAGAAAAGTTGTTACTCTTTTCCCTTTTAGGATGGCCTCTCTGCCTTCAGTTAAACATAAGCAAAGACTTGCGTAAGAAGAAATAATTCTGGGGCTCTTCTTGTCTGCTATAATAGGATCATATTATGACCCATAATGGCTAATGAAGGGTCAGCAAGTGATAATGTCAGAGCTGTCTCGAAGCTAAGAGTTTTCCTTTGGATAGTAAAATACAAATTTATGAGAGGTGGCTTGACATATGTTCAGGAGATGGTAGTGGAAACAGAGATCAGAGCCAATAGAAAATTACAAATAGGTAGGAGTTTTTGACATTAATAACATAATAAACATCACTGCAGACTGGGATGATTGACCAACAGTTCTTTGAACAGTAGCTGGAAGATTCTGTGCCAGAAGCTTGTCATAACTTTAGGGAATTTGAAGAGAATGCCTAAGACAGAAGAGAAGCCTTATCTTTGAAGAGATGTACCATTACTTCTGCAGTGTTCTTTTGGTCACACTGACCAACCCTGATCCAGTGTGAGAGGGGACTATACAAGCTTGTGAATACGAGGAGGCAGGATTCACTGGGGGCCGTCTTGCAGGCTGGCTTCCATAAGTACTCTGCATCAGCTGCTGTCCACCCACCTAGGAACTGAATTAAGATGTTCTTCATTTAAATCTTTGGACTGTGACCAGTATATGGTATATGGTAAAATTAAATGTGTTTTACCATCTTTACATCATTAAGATAAAAACAGATCTTGTCTTTACTTTTTTTCCTTTTAGTTGGCCAAGTGAAATTTGACCCACCCTTAAGGAAGGAGACAGAACCACATCATGAACTCGTAAGTAGCATAGTCTTGGAATGTTAACACTGAAAATAAATGTTTTAATTTGTCATTGTTATATATTGGTACTGAGTAAAAAAAAACTAGTCCTTAATATTTTGAAAAACATTTAGAGAAACAAAAACATAAGTAATTCTAAAATTCAGAATAAATAAATCTGTGTTGCTGAGATTGAATATTCTCAAAATTATTTTAGGGGAAACTAGTTTTACCATTCTCTGATTAAGTTTTTAATGCTGGCTCTTTAGTATTTCTTCATTTTTGCTTTTTTTTTTGTTTTTAGTTTTTAAAGGGCTTTTTGTGTATGTATTTATTAGTATAAATGCCATGATTCCTAAACATCAAAGTAGAGTCTAATTTGTTTAGAGAAGGAAAACTCAGGAAGACAAGGCATACATAGTAGATCAAGTTTGTCATTGATTTAAGGCTTGCTAACTATGAATATTATTTTCATGATTCTGTTGTTGTTTTATATACTCCTTTCCAGATATATGACATATTAGATACAGTTTTAGAAGCAAAATATTTTGTCTAATTCAGTGTACCAGTGCGGAGGAAGAGAATGTTAAAGAAAAAGTCATAAAATAATCATATTATAATGCTAAAGGTTGACATTTATGTAGAGGGATGGAGAAGATTAAGAAGAAAAAGTAGTCATGAAGTTTGTAAATGCTAATTGTATTTTGTTAAGGCAGTTCGAGTTTATTTTCCCTCTCTCTCTCTTTTTTTTTTTTGGCGGCTGGCCCATCCAGGGATCTAAACCCTTGACCGGTGGTGTTACAACACCATGCTCTAACCAACTGAGCTAACTGACCAGCCCTCTGTTTTCTCTTTTTAAGTTGGTATTGCATGTATTTAAATTCTGTACTAATTTAGCAACTGCATTATAGAGCAAAGTTGTTGCAGTGTTGCTTTTTTTTAGAAGCTGCTTAATATAATTGACTTCACCTTTGCCTTAATAAAATTATGTTAGCAGGAATTACTTCATTTGTGAAAGTTTCCCTTTATGAATTTGTGGCTTTTAGTCTAAGTGTAAATAACCTGGGTTTCTTGGTCTCTGCTAAACAGCCCGACAGTGATGGTTTTTTGGACAGTTCAGAAGAAATATACTACACTGCAAGATCTAATCTGGTATTTCTCATCTTCTGATTTTCTTTGTCAGCATTGTTTTAGTCTTGTTTTTTCTAAAAGATCAAACATTTTGTCCAGTTTTAATGAACCAGTTTAAGCATTATTTTATAAGTAACTGTCATTTAGCAAGCTTCCATTTATTAAGGATTATAACAATTTTTCCCATAACAAACTAAATAATATATCTACTCAAATATAATACTGTAGTAATAAATAAAAAGTTTTTTCCCTTTTTATGAAAAATGTTAATTGTAATTTTCTCGCTTAAATATGAGGTCTGTTTTTTTTTTTTAGAAATGACATTTTCATATAAAAATGTCCAGTTTTAATGATGTGACTTGTTCAAATGAACTAGAAACCATTTATATTATATAATAGCCATTTTATATGTGTAAATATTCATATATTTTATACTATTCATGTTACATATAATATATAGTTATATATTGTTCACGTATTTTACATATAATATATAATTTTAAAAAATAATTTATCTCTATTAACAATGAAGTCATTCTCAGATGAAATTTTAATTTTGCAGCATTATAAAATTTTGATTATAAAGCATCCCTGAAGTTATAAATATTAAGTGTGTCTTACCACAGCATAAGAAAAAATGGGAAATTAATTCCAGTAAATATTAAATAGTACTTTTAATAGCTGTTATTAAGTAAATAGTTCTTTCTATGTTTGTGGCTGACCAGAGCCCCAACTTGCTCCCATGTTTGCTCTCAGATTTCACTTTTCTGCCTTTTATGTGGAATTTTCCTTCTCTTTTCTTTTTCTCTACCTTAATAACATATCTCTTTTCAATTTTAGTTGCTTAAGTGATTCTTTATATAAATTCTTAAATCTATGCCTTCTAACATTTGTAGAACATAAAAAATATTTTAGATGTAATTTCTTTTTTTTAGGGAAGTTACTGTATTGTTAAGCAGAAAATAGTTACACATATAAAGTCTTAGCCATGCAACGAAATATATGATGGATTACCAGAATTTTGCCATGTGGCAGCTGTTGGTGAGGGGAAGCTAACACATATTAGGTACTATAGCGATCAGAGCTTTTGGGCAAATGTGGCTTATCTGGCTTCTGGGAGGGACTAGGACTGATTTCAGTATTGTGCAGGAACCATTCTAGATTCTTCAGGAAGAGAATGGACAGCTGCTTGCTATGTTTCATGGGAATTAGTGTAGCAACAGTTGTTGGCACAGACCACACTTTTGAGAGATCTCAGCTAAAGAACTGAAATTATGAAACTGTCATACTACTACTGGAAATATGGGATTAGCTCAAAGCGGTGCATTTAAGTCACCAAAGAAGAAATGATATATGAACACATGAAGCATATGTTCCCACATAGTTAGGTCTGAAGAAAGAGACAGTGAGGAAAACTAGTTACCACAGGGGCTGCTGCCTGTGTTTAGCAGTCGGGTAGAACCAACATTGGAGAGAGGTAGGGAGGAAGCAGTTGAAAAGCTGGGAGAGTCAATAGAGGCAGTCTCTCAGAAGAAAGAGGCATGTGCCAAATGGCCTAGAGAGGCCAGGAAATACGAGCATTGAGAATTAATCGCCATAGGGGGCAAGTGAGATAGAGTGTCCGAAGAACACACTGTCCGTGATTTCTGGACTGAAAATATCTTCTGAATTAGACATATGTAGGCTAAACAAAATTTGTTGTGAATATAATAGACCACAGAATCAAAAGTTTAAATTAACTGTAGTATTGATTGATATTCTCCATGCAGAAAAGATAGCAACAACAAAAACAGAAACATAATACTTTGGAATTACAAATACTCTTTTCTGTACCACGTGTGGAGCTAGCATAGTAACTTGAATAAGTTACCATATCATGGCTCTGTTCCCCAGAACTGCTCCTAACCCCGGGCTTTCCTACCCTGCCCTGTAATCAGGAGTTTCTTGTGATACAGGGCAGCAGTTGACCAGGGGGCTTGTGACAGAGGAGGGCTTTAGGGACAATTGTGGATAGTTCTGGCAGAAGAGAGATGAATGGAATATTTGTTGTACTGTACAATTTATAAAATCAACCTTAGAAAGCTCACTCCAAATGATAACAAAAACTTACATTTATCTAGAGGATTTTATATACAGGTGTACTTCAAAAAGTTCATAGAAGGACTCACGTTATCTTTTAATTCTATTTTTCCATGAACTTTTAGAAGTGCTCTCTGAGGCTTTATTCTAAATACTTTAAATATATTAACTTTTATCCTTGTTTTACAATTGAGGGGATTTAAGATACAAAGATGCTGAAATTTGTTATTCTTTAACTAAAAATAACAGCAGAGCTGGGATTTGACCTGAGCAGCCTGGCTCAGGAATTCCACCCTAAAGCACTGAGCTGTATTGCCCCTATCCAACATCTTCAGCATTTTTTTTTTAACTAATACTGGGCTTCTTCTTTCTTTCTCTCTTTTTTAATCAACATATGTGTCCCACAGATAATGTTTTTTTGTGTGTGGTAAAATACACATAACACAAAATTTATTATTTTAACCATTTTTAAGTGTACAGTTAAGTGGTATTAAGTACATAGACGTTGTGCAAACATCACCACTATTCACTCCAGAGTGTTTTTGTCCTCCTAACTGAAACTTCATACCCATTAAACAGTAACTCTCCATTTCTTCTTCCCCACAGTCCCTGGCAACCATTATTCTGTTTTCTGTCCCTGTGAATTTGACTACTCTAAGTACCTCATATAAATGGAATCACAGTATTTGTCTTTTTATGGCTGACTCACTTTACTTAGCATAATGTCATAATATCTTTAGGGTTCGTCCATGTTGTATCACGTGTCAGAATTTCCTTTGTAAGACTGAATAATTTTTCACTGTATTTAAATACTACAATTTTTAATCCATTCATCCATTGATGGACAATGGGTTGCTTCTACCTTTTGGCTACTGTGAATAATGCTTCTATGAGCATGGATGTACAAATATCTGTTTGAGTCTCTGCTTTCAGTTCTTTTGGATATATAACTAGAAGTGGAATTGTTGGATTAAATGGTAATTCTGTTTAATTTTTTCAGAAACCATTGTACTGTTTTCCACAGCAGCTACATTGTTCTACATTCCTAACAGCAATGCACAAGCGTTTCAGTTTCTCCACATCCTCATCAACCACTTGTTATTTTCTATTTTTTGTTTGTTTGTTTTGGTAATAGTCATCTTAATGGGTGTGAAGTGTCCATAGTTATTTCAGTCCCCTAATTCTTGGTGCAGTTGGCACCAAGATGACAGCCCTAAATCTTTTGGACCTAGAAGAAACATTTACCCCCTTAAAGAAGTTGCTGCTTTAAAGTTCCATGTTATCAGCAACTTCTGGCTGTTTTAAATGTGTATTCATTTTACGATTTTGTAAATGAATTTAGAATATTATACCTCAATTTTTGTTGCTACCAAGAAGTGACTTAAAAAAATAAGGATAATAATAAAAGAAGCCAGAAGAATGAAGCTTGATTTTTAGGTCTGGCAGTCAGTAAGAAAAGTTTTTAATTTTAGAAGATGCTTGAGTTTAAAAAACAAACAAAAAACTCACTGTTGTGTGATAATTAAATAGTTTAAATAGTGAGAGTTTTGACCTTAACTATAAAAATGAGTTTATCTGATCTACAAAATGCTCTTTAGATTAAAAGATTATATTACACATCTGTCTTAGCTGATGCTATTTTTTTTTTAATTTGCCTAGTTTTACTGAATATTTTGGCCTGTATACCAAAAAAAATATATTGAAAGTTGGTTATATGTCAAGCACTATGTTAATTGCTTTGGAGAGACATAAGGAAATAGCAACACAGTCATAGCTCTGAAGAAGGCTGTAGTATACCTAACCTGCTGATATTCATTTCCAACCTTGCAGTACAAAAGTCATGTTATTCAGTTTGAGGCTCCTTGGTCTGCTTTTATTAGTCAGAATCCTGCTTGGTCGCTTAATTTTCTGACCCCACTTGCTTTTCTGACTTTTTAAGAAATAAAAAAATCTTTGAATTATCCTGGATTCACTCCTTTCTGTAAATCATCTACCACATTAAAAGATATCTTTCTAATGACCCTGTTCTTGCCGTGATTTTCTCTTTTTTTTTTTTTTTTTTTTTTTTTTTTTTTTTTTTT